AGACAGAGGCTGACTGAGAGCATTGCCTTCATGTTCAGTAAGCTGGTTTACATTCACAGTAATTCCAGTATTTGTTTTAGCCAAGAAATTATTCAGGCGCAATCATTCAGATATTTAGGAGTGCACAATCTCTTACATGGCACACAGTTGGGTCTGTAGAATTCCACCATAGGGTTTATTTTATAATGCATTTTAATGGAGTTGATAAGAAAAAAATATCTTTTACCAGTCTGTATTAGAGAGTGGCATCAGGTTTGGTGTATCCACATGGTATATTAATCTTTCTGTAACATTGGAATTTGGAACTTTATTATTATTATTATTATTATTATTATTATTATTATTATTACTACTACTACTAGATAATAATAGTTAAGCTTACTTATATCAATGGTATTTAAAGCTAACTCATGTAAGTGTTATTTTTAATTAAGCTAACTCGGACTAGTGATGTTTTTGGTTAATGGTATTTTTAGTCAGTAAGTTAACCTGGACCCCTGGCATATTTTAGTAAGTATGTTAAGTCATATCAGTGGCACTTACCTAAGGAAACTTTTTTCTCAGTTGTATTTTTATTTAGTAATTTAGAATCCACACGGGGGTCAGTGGATTAAAAGCTGCTCCCGCTGCTTTTCTGAATGGAAAGCAGATTTAAAGCCAGAGGATGCAGAGCAACAGAAGCAGGTGAAGGGTGAAGAGAATGAATTTTCTTCACTTTTCAGGAACAATCAAAAGCTCAGGGACTGATTGAGGCAGCTGAAGTGAAGGCAGATGCTCCAGTTTCTGTGACAGAAGCAGAAGTGTGAAGCAGAGCCTGACAGAACTGGAGCTTTGAGAGCTGAACTCGCTCCTCTGCCCAACAAGAGAGGCTTGATTGGCTGGGCTGTTAAACATAAGAGCGACTCACGCTGCCAAAAAAAAAACAAAAAAACAGCCAGCATCACTGTTCTTATGGTTTTGAATTTAAAATTATTTCTATTTTATTTTTTTGGTTTCAGTTTATTTTTAGGCAATTCTAATAGTATTTATTCTGTAACTTTTATGACTATATTCAGTTGGTTTCAGAGTGCATAATTATGTATTATATTTGTAATTGTATTTATAATTGTAGTTTTTTGTATTATTTTTACTGATGCAAAAACAACTCATTTGATGGTAATTAGAAATGACAATTTTTTATTTGTTTACATACACAGAAAGATGTATTATTTATGTTTTGATGTTTTGTTATTTTTAGGAACTGTTTTGGTTTATTATTTTTGCTCATTTTAAAGATTCACACATATTTATTTAGATTTGTTCAATTGTTTAGATTTACCATTGCACATATTTGATTTATTTGGTGCATGATTATACATGTCGCTTTTTATCATCCTTCTTTATCTCATTTCATAAGAGTAGAAATATTTATTTTGTTTATTTCTTTTTAATTATTTTTATAGCTTTTTGTTTACTGATGCATACTGTAAGCATTTCCTTTGTATTTCAATAGCCATACATTATCCAAGGCTCATTCTGAAAACATACCCCTATATAAATTTCTGGAAAAGTGCCAAATACGTCCCAGGAGCTAAATTTGTTTACACTTTTTCACGAATGAATGCCATTCGCACCTGCTGTTCTTGCACAAATGCACCAGAGGCTGCTGTCGACTGACTGACTGATCGACTATCCCACCCTCCTTCTTCCCTAAACCCAACCAATAGTGTTTTCAAAACCACTGATTGACCCACCAACCCACTTCCCTAAGCCCAATTGACAGTTTTAAAAAGCAATCCAGAAAAAGAAAAGCCCTCGCCTGATTTTTACCACGTTTTCAGATTTTACCACATTCTCACCCTGTTATATACTTGTTTATTTTTTTTTTTTGGTTATTTATTTATTTATTAGTTAATTCGTTTGTTCATTTAATTTAATTAAATTTCATTTTAATTCACTTTTCCATTGCCGGGTCACAGGGCCAGCAGTCTTAGAAGAGAACCCCAGACTTCCCTCTCCCAAGACATTTCATCCAGCTTCTCCGGAGCTTCCTGAGGCGTTCCCAGGCCAGCCTAGAGACATAGTCCCTCCATCGTGTCCTGGGTCCTCCCCGAGGCCTCCTACCGGTGGGACATGCCTGGAACAATTCCTAGGTAGACGTCCAGGAGGCATCAGAAACAGATGGCCAAGCCACCTTAGCTGATGTCTCTTGATGTGGAGGAACACCTACTCTACTCCAAGCTCCTCCCGGGTGACAGAGGTTCTCACCCTATCTATAAGAGTGCACCCTGCCACCCTGTGAAGGAAACTCATTGCGGCTGCTTGTATCTGAGGCCCTATTTACACTAGTGTGTTTTAGTTTTAAAACAGCTTTTTAGAATGAAAACGATCCGCTGAACTGAGAGACTGAACTGTGTGTGTAGGCTACTTAAAATTGAGGAAAAAGCCCCAATCAGAGAGACGAATGTCGGCAGCCCTGCCTTCGTTTTCAGATGTCTCTGTTTCCCCCCATCCACACTGAGACGGAGTAGCAGTGTTTTAGAATGAAAACGGCCTCTCCAGCGTTTCCAAAGTGCTCCATTTTCAGGGTTCGAAAACTCTGGAGTAGTGTGGACAGGTGGCGTAACCGTAGCAAAACTTGTGCGTTTTAAAACTAAAATGCATTAGTGTAAACTGGGTCTGAGATCTTGTCCTTTCCATGACCATAGGTGAGATTAGGAACTCAAATTGACCAGTAAATCAAGAGCTTTGTCTTTCAGTTCAGCTCATTCTTTACCAGAATGGACCGATTTATCGACCGCATTACTGCTGCTGCTGCACCGATCCGCCTGTCAATCTCACGTTCCATTTTTCCCTCACCTGTGAACAAAACCCCAAGATACTTGAATATCTCCACCTGAGGTAAGAACTTTCCTCCAAACTAGAGATGGCAAATCACCTTTTTCCTGTAGAACACCATGGCTTGGACTTGGAGGTGCTGATTCTCATCCCAGCCTAGTCACACTCTGTGGCAAATTGCCCCAGTTCATGCTAAAGGTCAATGATTGATGAAGCCAATGTTCATTCGTTCACTTGTTTATTTTACATATTAATTTGTACTTGGTTGTATTGTATGGTTGGGATAATAGGGGTGGTAGACAATGGCCCCTTTCACACACTGATACTGGTAAATATCTGGAAAATTTCTGGAATGACTTCACCTGTAAATTTAAAAAAGCGCTGTTTACACAGGTGAGGAATTTACAGATTTTTTCCAGAAAAGACCATTCACACATCCATTCCAAAATACAGATAAATTGTGACATCATTAACAAGAAATGAGTTTTAAATGGCTGCGCTTGTATTTGTAAACAATTGACTACATTGCAAACTCTGTGGATGGATCAGTATTGTAAACAACTTCAATGAAATCATATAGAGAAATAATTTCGCATGTCGAGATGCACATGAAATGTGTGTGTGTGTGTGTGCTGGCGCTCACGGGCACACGTGACACGTCAAGCAACTGAAAGCGGAGCTTGAAGGTAAACAAACAACGGCTTATCATAAGCATCTCATTGATAATTATTTACACAGTTGGCATTAAGATGAACATAGAAACGTTATTTGACTAACTTCTAGCAGCCAAATGTGTCTGGGAAAATATTCAAAGGCTTTTATTCTCATAAAGCGAGCGGACGTCATGCATCTGACTGTTTTGATTGGCTAAAGTAGATGTCTCACGTCAGCACGTTCTAGATGTGTACATGCTCTTTCCGGCAATCTTCTTTCTGCGTTCACACAGCGCAGCATTCCGGCAAATTACCGGCAATGTTACAACTTCTCTTTCCCGAAAATAGCCAGAACGAATTTACCGGTATTTTCCAGAAAGGTCTGTATATGTGAAAAGGGCTAAAAAGCATTGGCAGTGTTATTACCAACAAAGGCTCATTCTGAAAATGTACTGATATACTTTTCTAGAGATGGCAAATTATGTAGCCAGAGCTACGATTGGCTGAATTTCATCTTTAAAACGAACAATACGAATAGGTACAATGCCATTCCTTTTCATGCTTACCAGCTGACCGCTTATCTCTGTATGGTTGTCTTTTCCAGTGTTACCAGTTTGTCCGGTAGCTCAACATGTACGTTGGCAGACTTGAGACACAGATCGGAGTTGACCACAACAACAGGGTTCGAGTCCGGTGAAGAACTATTTCAGAAACCAGGTAAGATGAAAACAAAATCTAAAAAATAAAATAAACAAATAAATAACAGGGTGAGACTGTGGTAAAATCTGAAATTGTGGTAAAAAACAGGGGGCTTCTCTTTTTCTGGATTGCTTTTTACAACACTGCAGTTTAGGGAAGGGTGGGTCAATCAGTGCTTTTGAAAACACTATTGGTTGGGATCAGGGAAGTGGGAGTTCAGGGGTCTCGGTCAGTTGGTCAGTCACTAAGTCAGTCAGTCAAAAGCGACTTCTGGTGGATTTACTGGTGAATTTGCGCGAGAACAGCAGGCATGAATGGCACTCATAAGAGAAATTTGAGATCTGAAAAAGCATACACAGCGGTCTGTACAGCGGTCTATACAGTGGTGGATACGCAAAAACAACAACTGCAAAAAAAACATACCTCCTGATATATAAACTTTGTTATGTGAATTTCTTTATCGTGAAGTAATGCACACGATTGTTCCATTATTGAACTATGAAATGTAATGCAAACTTATTATGTAAAGCTTGTAATCATACAGTTATTTGTAGGTCAAAATATTTCCACTTTCTATCCATCTAATAGCTTTAATTAATGATAATACTACTGGCCTTCACACACATATGCAGTCCATCACAGCAAAGCAGAATATAAAGACTCGGAAAGCAAAAAGCAATTTTGAATTTTCCTCAGATGATGTGATGAAAGACACAGAGCTTCAGAAGGAGATTGGTTGATCTCCTACTTTTCCACACACACTCACATACATACCGAATGCTTCAAATTTCACACCTGCATCCTTCAGAGAAACACATTTCGCACACTGACCTGCGAACTTGATGTGAAACTTATTCTCAGGTTTGAGGATCTGCACATAAAGTGGGCAGTTTGGAGCAAAGTCTTTCACGGCCCAGGCCCTAAGAATGGTCTGATGGTCCTGCAAAAAAATAAAATAAAATAAAATAAACGCATACAGAGGTGTACCATTAGTGCTCTTATGTACCAGCCATTAGCGCTTTCAGACACATTAACATACAAAGTAACTATTGTAGGTGAATCTCATTATAACATAAGCAGTTCACATTTCATCATAAATTTTAAAGAAACTAAAGTATATTGCGCATAAAGGAAAAAAAAAAAAAAGTCTATTTTATACCCCAAGGACAATTAAGCACATTTTATACCACATTAATGCATTCAAGGTTATTTTAGTAAACGAAAACTAAGACTAATTATTTTAGTTAAAATAGATCAATCATTTTTTGTTAATTGAATTAAATGTAAAATTGCACGATAGATATGTAGCGAGTGGGGGGCCAAGAGCCGTGAGTGTGCAAGGCCGGTGGCATGAATGCTCACTACTCACACTTGGACCAGTCACCTGGCTCAAGTCTTTCGGTGGAGCTCTGAATGATAAAAGGAGGAGAGACCTCATTTAAAGATGGTAGACGACCAGGGGTGCGTTTTCCAAACATTGACGTAACTTGGCGCTGAAATATCATAGTAAAATGCATCGTTTGGGAATAGAACTATGTAGTGACGAGTGTTTCCCAAAACGTGCAGTTTCTCTGTTGCAGATCCATCGCTTGAACCACGTTAGTTATACCATAAAACACCCATAATGATGCTCTAAATTGGGTGGAGTAACTACTTCTTTAGAGAAATTTTTTTTTTGTGCAAATTATGTTGTTTTACACGCACATTTATTTAAAATAAAATCCAATTTTAGTTTTGGTAACTCGCATATACTTGGCACTCGATTTCCATATTAACTGAAATATATGTAAATGGCACATATGTCCTATGTTTGCTTTAATAATTTTACTGAGAAGTTGAACATTATAAATTCTATTCTATAATGTATCACTTACAAAAGCTAACAAGTTTTCTAATATCATATAAATCATAGAAATAAATAAATATAAATAAATAAATAAATAAATAAATAAATAAATACTGAGTCTATTTAATATAAAATGAAATGCAATATTTAGTATTTATTAGAAATAAAAAAATCATACTTTCATAATACTATTAATGATATTAATATTAATAATAATAATAATAATAATAATAATAATAATAATAACAATAATAATAATAATAATAATAACTATTATTATTATTATTATTATTATTATTATTATTAATATTAAGTAGGATAGTTTCTTTATTTTTTATTATTATTTTTATTAATAAATAACCTACTATAAATGAAAAGAATTAACATATGGTTTTTGTTTTCACAAGCTTTGGAGACGTAACATAAATTTCCGATCTTAAATAATAGGTCACCAATAGCTTTCGCCATGAGGCTGTGTTTAAAATGACATCAATGTTTTCAATGTGCACTGCGAAGGGAGTACGATTGTAAACATGAAAATCGCTAAAACTGAACTGTAAAAAAAGTGTGAAAGCAAATTACATCTAAGAAAGAAGACCTTAATCCTTTTTTATTTTTATTAATTCCAACTTTGAATATTAGAATGTTCTAAATAAATAGGGCATAGGGGGGATAAGTGGTAATAGATCACAGACAGGGACTATGTTTTTAACTACACCTCCAGAGCTGTTGTTGCGAGTGCTCAAGTTTGCGACGCAGTTTGCGAATGTTTGTCGGAGCAACGGATTAGGGAAACAGCAAATAAACTAACTATGTTTGTAAAGACGAAACTTGCGACCTTAGTTGGCTAACAATGGTTTTATGAAAAGCACCCCAGGCCTGAACATTTTATGTTTTACTTTTGGTTTCAGTTTGGTGGTAGCATCCTTGAGGAGCTGCCGCTTGATTGTTTTATTTTGCTCATTAATATAATTAAAATTTGTCAGTTCTCCACCTCCTTTTTCCCGATGGCCAGGTGGCTATCAATCTTACTATAAAAAAAAAAATAAATAAATAAAACTAAACTAACAACGGTCACTGAAAAAAATCTAATTACAGTTTTTCTTGTTTGCTTTGACCTGGTTAAAGAAACTAGGTTCCACTTTATTTTCATTATCACTATCCCAGCAGAGCAGAAGACAGGTCTTGCAAATGTGTAAACCCTTTCTCATTGGGATGACACATTTTGCCCACCATTTTTCAAAGCAGTTAACAGATTTCATTTAAGCAGTCCAAACTCCATTGTTTTAGTTATGGTAACCAAACAGAAACCATCTATTCCTAACTATTAAAAACTACCAACATCAGTATGAAATCACTGAAGCACCGGTTTGACACTCCTTCACACAAATCTTCAATTAGCAATCAGTCTGCAAACCTTATAAAAACGATGGAAGGTCTGTGTTGTTCTGTGCCAGCATTGATGGAGGAGGTCAAAATGGCTATGTCCTATACTCCCAATAGATTTGACTGTATATTAGTTTACATGTGTTTTCTCTAATATTTACAGTATTTTATTACTTTTATCTTATCTTTAGTTTTCAGCCACATTTTGAAAAATATCATAAATTCAATATATATTTAATCAAAGCATATCTTATTCTGGATTCAATTCTTTGCAAAAAGGCAAATTTGACAGCCCAAATATAAAGACAACAAATGGCATTGGCAATAAGCTACAATGGCAAGCAATGGAGGTGCACTGAGTTTTGTATTTTGTATTTTGTTGTCCATTGTGTAATGATTAATTGAAAGAGCTCATATACTTGTTTGCAAGTTATGTTGCTTGAAGGTAAAACTAGCTTTTGTTGCATATATTAAATGTTTTGACACGATATGTGCCTTTTGCAAGCAAAATGTGTTGTTTTGACCATGAGTGCCGCTGTTTAGGCCTGTGTGTTTACTGTTTTGAAAATGTGGAGTTTCAGTTGACAACTGCATCAAAGCAAACGAGAAAAACTGTAAATATGGATTAGCAAAACGAAAGCAAATTACATCTAAGAGAGATGACTTCATGGCTTTTTTAAAAAAAAATCATTCCAAGTTTAAATGTTAGAATGTTCTAAATGGATAGGGCATAGGGGGACGAGTGGGAATTGAACACAGCCAGGAAATATGTTTCTAACTACAGCTCCAGGGTTGTAGTTGCAAGCGTACAAGTTTGCGATGCAGATTGTGAATGTTCATTGCAACAACGAATTTGGGAAACGCAAAATCAACAAACTGTTTGTAACGGCACAACTTGCAACCTTAGTTGGCTAATGTTAGTTTTCGGAAACACACCCCTGAAATGTACAGCAAATTTAAATATAGTATAAAAATAAAAACATATTTAAAAATGCAAAACAATATTAACCTCAATTGCATTCTAGGTTATACTCTTTATGTGCTATATGTAATGCTATAATGTAATTTTTTTTTTTTTTTTTTACTAGAGTTTCAGGCCATGTCCACACATACACGAGTATTTTTTGTAAAAAATAAATAAATAAATAAAACTTGTCCACATACTATATGCACAGTTTAAAATAAATCTTTGTCCACACAAAACCGCAAAAATGCCAAATGAGCACTGTCAAGAACATGCCAAAGCAATAGTTTGTGATATACTCCTATACAATAGATGCCTAAAAAATGTAAAGCACAGCAGTTTTGTGCCTTTTGAAATTAAGTGGGATAATTGCCTATGTATCAGAATGTTATAAGCTCCATTAGTACTTTTATTTGCATAAGTATTTGTTTACATTGGCCACTGCATAGCCATCTGTCAAGTAAACAACAGGGATCACACAGTGCAATGTGATGTTACACAAAAGACATGTCTAAAAATTTACTACACAGACTACACAACTACACAGAACCCACTTTTTTAGGAAATCTTCACCCTGACAGGAGTTTTCAAAGAGTTTCAGTTTTAGTGATATAAATACTGTGTTTTGGGTGTGGATGAACAGTTGCTGTTTTCTGGTTTCTATCCTTCCTGTTTGAGTATAAGTAGAATGTCTGCTTAATATATGTTGACACTGCTCCTTCAACAGACATTTAACTGACTATAAGAAACTTTGCAAGTACATGTCAACTTACACTAACCTTAACCCTAACTCCAACCTCAACGGCCTTATAATCTAATGAGAATTAGTTGGTATGTGGATGCAATGTAACTTAAATTCAACACAGTGTGACTCTTTATTCTGTAGTTTACAAAAAAATCTAAATTTTTAAGAATGTTGGAAACTGCTAGCCCATAGACTTCGAAAAATAAATAAATAAAAATAACATGGAAGTCAATATCTACCATCCAACATTTTAATCCAAAGAAACTTAATTACATTTGAAACAAGTGCAGGGAAAGTAAACTGAACAAACTGTATCTATATTTGCTGAGCTTGTTTCATGATTTGGTGTTTATGTTTAGCAGAGCTGTGATGTGATGTGCCAATAATTACCTCATGAGTATTCATATTTTCGACCTATTTTGTGTGAACATAAATTCTTATTTTTGAATATTGGCTACTGATGTAGTGAAAACATCATAATAAAAAAGTATTTAAAGAACCCCTATAATAGGTTTTTGAGAATGACCTTCCATGTAGTGTGTAGCACAGCTCTAAGTGAAATGAAATATCCAGCTAAGGTTTTAATCGGAAAGTGCACAGTGTTAAAAACTATTGATTCATTTATAAAAGAGTCGACTCATAGTGCTTCAAATGAATCGTCTTGATAACGAGTCTTTAGCTGTTTCTGCGTGACCTTGATAGGAAACTTAAGCCCCGCCCTGTGGCCCCACCCCAAACAGTAGCAAAGAAAAAGACAAGTCACGAAGATGCAGTGATCAGCTGGATATTATTGGAAGTGTGAGGGAAAGTTAGTATTTTTTTCTCTACCCAAAGATGAAACTGTGAAGAGTCAGTGGTTGAGGTTTATTTTTGCAAACATATCTCAGCATTATCGCCCAGCCTTATGCTGTTTGAGTGCTTCTAGAATCTACACGCTTACAATGGGGCATTCGTTGTCGTTTGTTAAAGGAAGGATCAGAAAAGACTATTGATGTAAGG